TCTAGCCGATGTCAGCTCATGATGAAAACCTCCAACCAGTAACTTTTCAATAGTTTAGGAAAATGTGTCCAAGAGTAATTATAGAGTTGAGTATTAGTGTGCACTAATCTCATATTTGACTTTCGTGCTGTCAGAAGAAAGTAATCAATGAAATTTTGATATCAACGAATGTCAGGCATATCTAAACAATACAACCGCTTTTAAAAAAATATAAAGCCGACTATTTAGACTATTGGGTTAAGCGTAAACCTATGTATAGGATTTATGACGCTGTGTTAACATGGAATTTCCTTACACGTTGGTTACATTTTTCGTCATTCCATTTATGTACCGAGAATTCAGCCGACTGGATACCTGAATGAATGATTTTCGAATAAGGCGAAAAATTATTGAGCAAACTTAATGAGATGGTAGTGATCCGGAAGACTGATTTATTATGTGAAGATAATGAATGAGACTTCGAAAGTAGAAACTGGATTATAGTAAGATTCGGACTGACACGAAAGCCTATAAATCATGTCACTCAGCCATCAATCTACTAAACTTGTAACCTATTGACTAATTGCGTGAATCATACCTTGAGCTGGCCAGTGTTTTAATCCCACTCACTATCACTTCATAGTACAAGCGATTACTACATAAAATTTATATTTCAAAATACTATAAGAGTTGAGATACATTTTTTCCTTTTAAATTTGTGAAATAAAACATCTCCTGTTGCTCGTTTTATTAGATTTTCATTTATGTTAAATGTAAACAACCTATCATTTACATTTGTATAAACTTGATACATAAAATGTGGGCTTAACGCTTGTAATTATGTTTAATTTCATTTACTACTCATGAGTACAATTAAACGGTTTACTAAAAATATCCATAGTGCACAAATAAATGAAACAAATAAAACGTTCGCTGAGTGTTCTGGCGCGCTTTATCTATACAAACCCTTTAATAAAACAGGAAAATATCATACACTGACCTTAACTGGTATCCAACTGACTCAGATGCCAGTTCTTTGCGATCGAAAATACTATACAGAGAAAATGAAAAATATACTCTCAGACAAAACAAATTTTCTCAGCCTTCCAACAAAAGAAGCAAAACGGGACTGATTGAGAAACAGCTTACGGATGCCTTGAAAATAATCAGAGCCGATCGTTTAGTTATCTGCGATATCTATGATCATATCCGACCAATAGGTCCAATAATACCAAAACTGTACCGTTTACCAAAGATACGCATAATTGATCTCCCACTGCGTCCAATGTCAGGTTCCCCTTTCATTCTATTGCAAAATGGTTGGTTGATACTATGGAACCTGTAGGAAAACATGTATGCATTTACTCGATTCGTGATACTTTCCAATTCATCGATTACATGCAAAATATGAAAGTTGCTAACAAAAGTATACCATCTTTTGACCCTTTTCACCAGTGTCTCCCGGAAACTGTCTGTTTTAAGTGTAAACATACAGATGATGACCGAACTTTGGAATACTAACAGCGTATTTCAGAGAACTGCTTCTGAAGTGTACTGTTAATGTACAGTTCACTTTTAGGGACGCCATTTACAGGCAAAAGGACGGGATTGAAATAGGATCTCCCTTGGATCCATCGCCAGCAGACTGTTCTATGACAAGCTTTGAGAACTATCGATTTAAGTCAGACATTGATAATTTACAGCTTTATGCAAGGTATGTAGGTGATATTTCCGTCATTTCCGACAACAGCTATGACCTCAGTCAGTTGTTACAGGTATCTGACAACTGCCAACAAACAATAAAATTCACTCTTCGAAAACGAATCCCAAATTCCTTTTCATGTGTAGGACTAACAAGAAGACCTGAAGGAAAATTGAGAAGGTCAGTCCATTGGAAACCCACCTGAAACGGTCAGCTGACCAGTGCTTAAGTTGGGTTCCTGTTGGCCAAAATGGAATTAAATCCCTGGCCAACTGGATCCGACGCATCTATAGTCCTGACGCACTAGAAGCAGAACTAGATGTTCTGAAAGAAATCTTCATCCCAAATTGATACAAGACCCTTTGACAAAATACTCATAGTTCAGAAAAACAAAACATTACTTGTCCGAAAACAAATTTACATGAAGGTGTATCTCGAGAGAGACTTAGCCTGCGATATTCTTAGAAGAATTTCCTCACTTTTGAAACGAATTTTTTTGTAGCAACGCTATGAGTATTGTTCTTCAGTTGCCCATTAGTTTGCAGAAGCCTGAAGGATACGACCTCACACCTGATCACTTCTATATGCATATATCAGTCCACCTGTTCCTGTGGAGCCAGGCATATTGGTCACTTGACGCGTATCCTGTCTAAAATGGCACAAGAACCCTATCCATCATGGTTGCAGAAAGGTAGTGGCGGATATGTACGAAATGCAATAAACGAACACCTATTCAACACTGGTCATTCCATCTCAACAAACGCCTCCTTCGGAGAAATCTACAAAATGAAGAACAACCTGTTGAAGACAATAAGCTTTCGTGTTCTTTGCATTGCCGAAGCTCTGGTCACTCAGGCAGAGAAATTTGAGCTATGCATACACAAAAATCTTGTTGATTTTTACTAACTTGATTTTTTCAAGTATTGATTTTTATGGGGATTTTTGTTTTATTAGCTAGAGGATTTCATCATGAGCTGATATCAGTTAGAGAACCGTTGGAGAACCAGCTGGGAGTACTGGACAGCTGTTCCGTCCTAGTTTGAAACTTCTCATTTGAACGCACCCACCGCCGGGGTTCGAAACCACGACCTTCTGGTTACAAAGCGAGCTAGCTTGTAGACCATTAAGCCACTGGGACCTGATCCAACGGCCCATGAATTCTAACTTCTGCCGATTCACGACATAGCGCAACCACTTATCAATATCTTCGATGAGTAACTGTCCTAACCTTCGACCTGCTGTACCCTACTGGTCACGGCTTCCCAAAGCTATCCAGTACTTCCAGGTTTTCAATGGTTCTCTAGCCGATGTCAGCTCATGATGGAATCCTCCAACCTAACTTGATTGTCTGTTTGTTTTTTTTAACTCTTTGTAACTCCAGCATTTCCTTAGAACTCACAAAATTTCAGATTTCCCTTGTTTCTATGTGCATGCTGATTACATCTCATTAAGTTATTCATCTTATTACGTAACTCTAATGCACTTATTTAACTCTTCTTAAATTCTGACCAATACTAACAGCTATGATTACTACAACTCATCACCTTTGTAACCACCTTCTTTTATGCAAAAATTGTGCATAAATGCGAATGTACAGCTAAACGAAATTAATTCGTAGAAGAAAGCTTCTTCGCTGAACTAGATGTTTTATTTTCATTAACGTATTCATAAACTGAATAGTTCCAAATGCATCAGATGTTACGAAATGTCTTATTACCTTGTACATTTTGAAAAGAAATTGTAGTAGCTTGTTACTCTTAAATATCTCTCACAAATCCACACGTATTCACGAATTTAGACAATATAAGAACTAGGCGCTTATAGTTCGAAGCAATTTATGGAACTAAGAAGCATATCATAATGCACTCTGCTATACTTTTTTTTTGTTTCATTCCTTGTTTTCCTAGTGGAACATAATGACTCATGTTTTTGAATTTTGAGTAACCGTGTTATTTTTATGAAATGGCGTTGCTAGCCTTACATCTAACTTCCACTGTTTTCTGAGCTTACTATCAGCTAGTAGACCAGGCGAGGTGTAGAAGTCCGTTGGTTGCGCTATGTTTGAATTTTTTATTCTATCTCTAATCATTTTGTTAATTATTTGTCAATCTTCTATGTAACCAACTCAAGATTTTTCGACTGCTGCCTAAAAAATATCATCGAATGTCTCTATGTTCACACTAAGATTAGACTTTCACGTAGGTTTCTTAACATACTTAACTCATCAATCTCCATTTTACTAAATTGTCGTCTCAGTCGAGTCAGTGGCTCAATGGTGGAATGCTCGACAACCACGCACGTGATCCGGGTTTGTAACCCAGCTGATACAATGTTTTGCCTTACCTATTTCACTAGCCGATAGCAATATCCTGGAGAAGAGGGAAGCTTCAAAACATGAAGCCTTATGTCAATGGACCTGAACATTGAACGTTTGTTTTACTGGGTCTGGCAGCCATTAATGGGCAACTGAAAGGCGCGAATGGTCGATCGCTTGCAAGTTGAAAGAAGACTGGAGTTAAATACGAATAAAAGTACTTTATAACTTCATTTGAACTTAACATTTGTTTGTAGACTTTGTAGTTTTCTTCAATTTAATTGCCAAACAATATAATTTCGTTCAAGGAATACTGGTGTTTTGGATTTAAAGTTGAAGAAAGTGCATAGTATTTATCGGTTCAATCGCTTAAGTCTTCATTTCGATAGGAACTTAGGGCTAAGTTCCTTGACACCTTATGTTCCATTTGAGAAATAAAGAAGTCATGAAAACGTTTGTTAATTCGTCTTAAGTAACTAACAACACACATGTATATGACAGAATTGAATAGATCAAATACTTTTGTCTGATATGTTCAGTGAGATCTTCCCGAAAATAAAAATCGTGTCTAATTTAGTGTGCAAGTTTGCACACTATCCTAAATACAACCTTGTTAAGACTACCATAAAGCTTCAGATATCTCTAGATTTTAAATCGAAACGTTATAAAACTACTGAATTATTTTATTCAAATTAGTTGTGATTTTAATACTACTCCTGACAGCAATATTTGATAACCTACTGCTTATATTTTCCTCGGTGAATACCATCAGTATACACTTTTGATTATCATCATTCATTTCTGCTTATAGATTTCCTAACAGGCACAAACACTCAGTGACGAGTACACGCATAATATGTAACACATGAACACTGGGGTGAGCATTTTTTCCTCGTTGCCTTAATGAATGCCAGAAAATGTATAGATAACGTGATGTGAAGGATACTTGAATAGAATAAAAGATAAGCAGAAACTATCTTTTTCACAATCAAATCATGAAGCAATCCCTCTAGACAACAATAATAACACAATTATAATATTACTGAAGAATAAGAAGTAATAAAGATAGTGAGTATATATTTGGAGAAATAGAACTGTGTATTTCTTTAATAATGAATGATGCTAGTGAGCAACAATACGGAGAGGTATTCAATTAAAAATTTAATTGATTTTCAACAAGAAAAAGTTCATTTAAATAAATGCAACAAGCATCAACGAAAAATAATAAAGTAAACTATTACATTAGAAAGTCAATAAGATTTGCTTCTCGTGCGCACAAAAACAGATACATACAATTATGAAATGCATATTTAAATCACTGGAAAGAACAAGAGAATATGGCACAAAATAACAATAGTAATAAACATGGATACACACAAATGCATTTCGTTTTACAACTCATCCCATAATGATCTCGAATGCTTAACAACATGACTATCTTTCCAAGATTGTGATTTAGCCAAAACTTCATCCAGTGTGAGTTTACCGTCATGATTGGAATCTGTTATATTCATTAAACGTGTTGCCTCAGACTCTGCAGCTGATTTTAAAGCTAGAATATGAGAAGAGAAAATGTAGTTAGCCACTACATATACATATATATAATGATTCATTGTGAATTAATTTTCAAGTGCTGATTTGCAGGGATGTGATTGGTTACAGGTTTCATCATGAGCTGATATCAGTCACAGAACTATTGAGAAACCAGGGAGTACTGGGGAGCTACTTCATCCTAGTTTGGGACTCTTCGGTCAGGTCCGGGAAAATCATAGTTAATTGCCCAAGACTCTGGCTGGTGATTGCGCTATATATATATATATATATATATATATATATCGCGAATTGGTAGAAGTTGAAATTTGTCGGTCATTGGATTGGATGTCAGTGGCTGAATGGTCAGAGAGCTTGCCTTTTTACCGGGAGGTCCTGAGTTCGAACCCTGGTGGGTGTGTAATGCAGAATAGTCGCGAATTAAGACGAGACAGCTATCCAGTACTCCCTGGTTTCCTAATGGTTCTCTGATTGATGTCAGCTTGTGATCAAACCATTGCGAATTACACCATCTGAATAATAATAATAATAAATAAATGCCTAAGAATAATTTTCAAATGTTGGCTGGCAGGGATTTGATTGATTCCAAGTTTGATTACGGACTGGTGTCAGTTAGAAAACCATTAAAAAGCGGGGAATACTGGGCAGTTGTTTTGACCTAGTTTTGAACTCTTCATCAGTACTCACTAAGACACTCCTACAGCATTTGTCAAATCGATTGGAAACGTGGAAGAGCTTGAAATGAGTGAGTGGTTAGACTAATATTATGAGAAAATAAGAGTTACAAATGATTTGGCCAGAGTCATTTGGAATTGGTTGGTTACTATCAACATTCATACCATTTCTTCTCGCAGCACAGAAGGATTTGAACTAACCCACAGTTATGTAAAGACACCAAAAATGTAGAAACTCAAGGTATCCGGAATGTTGAATATAATTAAGTGGAGTAGGGATACGATTGTAGTTACTGGAAAAATTAATTAGTTCTGAATCCTACGGCATTAATGTCACTCCACTTTGTGTAGTAAACATCAATACTGATTTACACCTAATGAAATGTGATACACCTTGTACGGCAGGTAAATTTAAGTTGTGGGAAAAAAAATGTGGGACTCCGGTCGCCCAGCTCCTAGTATTCTTGGAAAACAATGATAACTTCAATTTAACGCTAAACCCTGTGGTGAATAATTCAAGCAACATACAATGAAATTTAATATGAGGCATTACTGGACTCGGAAAAAATAAATAGGTTTGACTGGAAAGTGTCAAGCGAACAGAACAACTACATACGAAGTGAAATCATTAATTAGCATTAATACGAGCGAAACGCAGACAGATAAAACCATTCCGTCTTACACGCCATGAATTATTTTCCATAACTTAAAACTATAATTTGAACACAACTTACACGGTAATAACCAAGGTCGCAACTCATTCGAAGTGAGTAGTCTATTGTGATCGACATCCAGAAGTTTGAACTGTTCACGAAGATAATTCTGTTGTGATACACCACGATAAGCTTTAATATGACAAATGAATTAAGTGAATTAAGGTATCAACAAGACAAATCTTCTGAGTTTATAAGTCATTTTCATCCACTCATTAAAAAAAATACCTTCATATAAGATGTATGTTATACTTCGTTGGTTTAGATGCTAAGAATCATTGGTTGGAGACACTTGGTAAGACGACTGAAAATCGTACATCATAGCGTATCACTGAAATTCTGAATATCTCCCCAAGTATATTCATGTTTTCTCAATTCCATCTCTGTTTTCTTTTCTTCTGAGTCCAGTTTCCAAATGTGGCAACTTAGAATGTTGTATGTAAAGTTCGACAATGATCCGTCATTCAGTCACACAAATCAAACAGTGATTTTACTTTCTAGGTTTATACTGACCTTTAGATAGCATCAGTAATGCAGTAAAAGCAAAGTGATAAATACAATAGTCAGAAGCTTTTCTCGCTCTTAGTAACCACATTTACCATAAATTCGTATTCAACAACAAAATCTGCTAACAAGCTGATCAGTAAATGTTAAAAATCAGGTAACAAGAAACAGCGGAACTGCAAAACCGAACGAGCCTGTTTAAAAACATTACCGCGCTTAACTAACTGATAAAGAGAAAATGCTATGAATATAAGCAAACTTACAGAAATTTGTAAATTCATCTGATGTGATCACTCCGTCATTATTTTGATCGAAAATTGAAAAACTTGTCTGCAACTCATAGTTAGCCATATCTTCATAATTTTCGGGTCGAAGGAATATTGTAAACTCTCTCAATGATAAAAACCCATCACCATTTTTATCTGCGAAATTGAAACGCGATCGTTCGCTTTTCAAGGACTTTGAAAATATGAAAAAGACGCACTTCTATTATCTAGTTAACAAAGAGAATTTCGGAAAACTTATGAAGGATATCATCCACCGATTACCTCAGTAAATAAAATTGTATACGCTACACTTAGAACGACGTAAAGGAAAACCAAAATGAAGATAACATACTGAGTGGAAACTGTAAAAGATGAAAGACCATGTATTCGAGGCACTGGAACCAGCCGTAATTAATCCTTCTTGTCTCCCATTCTATCCGCACAAACTATAATGACCAAAGTTCGAACAACAATAGTTATAATAATAATAATAATAAACTGATGCGATCACCTTCAATATCGAATTCAAAATAGACCAACAGTAAATGTTTTAATAAGGTAGCATCATATCTTTCAATGACAACTCACTGAACACTTCTAAATCATAAACCTACTTCAGTTAACAACAAACGTTGAGGTATATAATGGTTGATCACGTGGATATACTCCTGTGCTTTCAAATGACACCAGCTTAAAAATTCAGGTGATACTACCACATTTACCTAATACCACCGAACAATCACACATATGGAGAAACTGATACGTTCAGTTTGAGAATAAACAAACGGTCGTAACTACCAAACATTTGCGAAAATCTGGTAACAATGATTACACTGATAAACAGAAAATATCGAATGCTCAATAATTTCACTTCAACTTATTTTCCAATGATAAATAACCAATTTTCGGACACTATGTCACGTTTTGATTCATTCGCAAGAGAATTTCTCGACAAAAACTATCACACACTGCTTAGGTATACTCACTTCAAGAATAAACTTTGACGACTGGTCATCTTTCGAGTTCTTTAATTCCTCTTCAGAAGTTTCGTAGGAATGACTGACATATTCATGAAATGAGACTCTTCCGTCCTTATCTTTATCAAAGTCCATAAGTTGTTTTTCAGCATGTTCGCGATCCAAAGATCTATAAAACGAAATAAATCCCAAATTTATACCAGTGAGATAAACAGCATATAAAAAATAACCGATAGTAGATACATGATATGAAACGATAAGAAAGATAAAGCGATGGTTAAAATATAACAAAAATAAACTACTCTAAATATACAGGGATTCATAGTGTGAATGTAAATAACTCACTGGTGTTTACTATCAACAACTCATGATAAAAGACCAATACATAAAACATCCGAAAAATTAAATACCAGTAAAGGGTGAACAGTAAGGATAAAGACAAAGTAGCTTTCCCTGTGTGACTTTAATGGTAACGTCAGGGTTTTTATTAACTTTGGTAATTCCAGTTGACAGCTAAAATAATTACTGAACAAGAACCTACATGCTCCATTGAATGAATTCAAAACACTAATTACTAGTAGTGATATCATAAGACACAAGTCTTCCTGTGATAATCACAGGAAGATTAGCTTGACTAATATGGTATTCAAAGTCCTAGGCTGAATAATAATGCGTAGACTAAGTGGTCCACGGCAAGAACAAACACGAGAGAACCAGGCAGGCTTCAGACCACGAAGAGAGTATATTGATCATATCTTCACTCTTCGACAGATTCTGGAACATAGGCATACTTACCGGCGTTCAGCAATCGTTATATTTCTTGACCTAAAGGCAACATTCGATTCTGTCGACCGGGAGGTTCTCTGGCGATGCTTGGCTGTGAAAGGAATGCCGAGAAAATACATTGCACTGATCAAGGCACTCTACTCGAACTCGTGCAGCCAGGTGAGGACTTATGGCGAGTTGTCATCTGAAGTGGTGACAATCAGTGGTGTCCGTCAGGAATGCCCACTTTCCCCATTTTTATTCAATTTCATCATAGATGTACCAATGGACTTAACCCTAACTCACTTCAGAGACTCAGGCAATAGTCTCGTTGACTCAGAATATGCATGCGGATGATATATTCCTTCTAGGTGAAGACTCTGACAAAATTCAGAGTCTCCTGAACACCTTGAGCTGCAATCTACGAATATTTGACATACGATTCCTCCCACCAAATGTAAGATGATGATACAGGACTGGACTGGACTACACTGAGTCCTAGCTAAGAAAAAGGGAGTGCAGTGGTGGAGCACGTTGACCGCTTCACTTATTTGGGAATCCGCATCAGCCAGCGCCAATGGGTTGATCGCTGACGAAATCTCAGCACGGATGCAGAGAGCTAATTTCGCATATCCTAGTTTATGCCACCTCTGGTGTAGACATGATATCTGGTTGTTGATCAAAGGACGTGTGTAGTGTTCAGTAGTCCGCTCTGTCCTGCTTTATGGCTGTGAGACATGGCCATTGAGAGTGGAACACATAAAAAGCCTGGCTAACTGTCTCTGATCATAAGTGTCTGTGTTCTATCTCCCGTGTGAAGTGGTATAATAAGGTGAGCAATATTGAGGTTAGGCGTCGAGTGCTAGGTAAGGAGGGGAAATCAATAGACGAGGTTGTGAAGCTACATCGGCTGAGATGGTTAGGACATGTGTTACGTATGTCTAGTCATCGCCTTCCTCGACGGGCAATGTTAGCTGACATAGGGTCAGGCTGGAAAAGAGCTAGTGGCGGTCAAACCAAAACATGGCACCAGTCAATGAAATCCACAACAGTTGGTTTAAGCCAGTCACGTATGGAGGTGTAGACTTCCTGGCTGGGGTCCTCGGGACGGTAAGAACCAATGGCTGGAAACAATCGGTGGTATGGCTCAAAATCGTTCTAAATGGTGCAGATGCATCCACTCCTTGTGACTTATAATTTCCAACGAAACTATATCGTTCTTCGTTATTACTATTCCCTGTGTCTCATATCCCTGTCTACTGTCTGTATTATGCATTTCATCTACTTTCTTCTCTTGCTTTGTGTGCTACATGGAGTGTGACGACTTGAACTGCTGTACATCGGTACAAAGTTCTATGTCAATAACAGACAGACAGTCATATCATAAGAGAAGACAATTTTTGATTACAAGCATAGCACCAACCATTACTCCGCAGTAGTCCAGTCTATGTCACCTCATAGCGGCAAGTCAAGTAGGAAATGAAAAGAAACAATAAGATAGTAACTCCAAAATAGAATACCATAAGAAAATAAATGAATAGGAAAGACAATAGAAGGAAACATGGTATTATAATTAGGATGAATACAAGATGTGGATGAATATGCGTTGCAGTAAATGATTCTGAATTCTATCATTTACAGTCTCTACCCATACCACACACACACACGAGTCAAACCACTGAGATCGCTGAACGAGAACCCATTTAATTCAGTGAATGAATTGTCAACTTAGTTACATTAACTATATAATCAGCTGTAATAAATTCATTTACGTTGGGAGTAAAGTCACAATTATCCACAATTGAATTCAATGATGTATTCGAAGCCAATAACCTCCTAAAAATACTAAATATTCTTACTCGTAGGTCTTGTGAATCCAAGAGGCTAACTCATCCCTTTCAATGAAGTTATCGTGGTTACTATCAATCTTTCTGAAGTATAAATGAAGTCGATTCTCAAGCTGAATCTCTGGAACAGCAAATTCAGGAACGTGGGGATCTACAATAAATAAAACAACACTACTAATATGAAAGAAAGTACTTGATGTTAGTGACTGTAAAATACTTAGGTCAAGTGAAACGCCATAAGAGTATTTAAAATGAAAACTAGTGACTAGTCAAGCACGCTTTTAAGCAAGACATAGATAAAAGAAGTTGACCATGGTAAATATTAATCTAAAAAGTGAAGTGGTTGGCACAACTAATATGACAACTAATAGATTATGATCTCACCAACTGACAGCTGCTAAATATTACCTCTTTAGGTGAACAGGAATACATGTGGCAATGGTCAAACTAACTATAGTGGAAAAATTTGTTTATTGATTTTTTTACCATAAGAGCCTACAGGACATCACTAAGACGAAAACACTCATCAAAGCATCAACTGATTGACTTTAACGTAGAACTTCGTGCAAAAGTGCAGCAATTCAGATAGTCACATTTCATAAAGCATACATAAATGTGGAGAGGAATGAAATGTACGGGATAAAAAATAAGTACAAGGAGAATATTGAGAATTTAGCGAATTCGGAAGTTTATAAAAAGTGAAAGCATTTGCGCTAGAGTATTAGTAACGCAGTGTGCAGCATCCGAAGATGAAATTACATTGCCAGTTGGATAACAAGTGACAGGTTACTTTATACGACCATTGATTCCCTGCCTCCACACCCTTGAGAATAAATGGTAATAAAGTCTGCCTAAAAATCCTTGCATTTTCTCTCATCTAACGCTTCCTCCTCACTAATTCCAATGTTGGCTCGGTGAACACGCAATTGTTTAAAGTCAAACACTCTTAAAAAGGAATTTGTGATAACGCACGAGATATCACATAGCATCTGTAGTCACATATTAATCACCCACTTTCTCCTTTAGCTGTCTGAAAAAAAAACTTTTATTTCGTAGCTGGAGAACAGCGGCGTATTTTCATCAGAAATGAAGTCCTCCAGTTACTCTTCGACTTAAAAATCATTCAATAAGGAGCAAAATAGGATTTAAGAAAATAAAGTGAAACTCAGGTTATGAGAGACAGATAAACCGATTTAAAGTCTCCACATAAGTGGACCTGTTCAACCTGACATAATCTGAAAAATCACATTTGAAAAAGCAGAAGACAGAAATGTAGTGATTTGGTGAGACTGATGCAGATCTCTATTTGTTTTCACATTCAAATGTTTCCTTTTGTTAACATCCCTACGATATGATAATATAGATTTGTTGTAACTGTTATATTTAGGTGAAAATTTAACTGCCTATAATTGAAGATCTTCCAAATGAGCTGCCAAAGGTTTATAAAACATATTCTAGCACTGTCATACGGTCCTCATGAGGAACGAATCAATCATATTTTTAGTCAGTCTACATTCGTAAGAAGATTTTGATACTACTACTAAGCCAAATACAAGATTTTTATCACACTTGTTTAGCTTCCGGTGAACTGGATCTATATTTATTCAAACTTACTTCCATTGAAGTGTTTATCTAATTTTTCAATATCACAATAGACAAATGTAAATAAAGCCAACAACAAGAACCATAGCATCATTCGATAGTTAGCTCTTTTTTGTGGATACAGCAAGGTGAATAAGTTGGACAAGAGAAACAGCTAAAGAACGATGAAAACAGAAAAAGATACACGTAATGAGCAAGAATTTTGCATACAAGTTTTAAAAAATTTGGTGAATAGCCAATAAAAAACTGATATTCACAAGTAAAATAGCTATTTTCATATAGATAAGGAACGACAAGCTGTCTAAACTAAAGGGCTAAGACTGATAGGTTAAACAGTGGATAGAATGACGGTCACGTAAAACATGGCTACAGGTTAAACTTAAAAGCAACAGTGATAATTAAGTTAAAAACGACTCGCGAGTGATCTGTACTCCAATAATAATAATAATACACATTGAGCAGTGGCCAACAATTCTTCCCATAAATTCATGAAGTCAACTGTAGTTGATTTGGGAAGAAATAATTCACAGGACAGGCTGTTATTATGATACAAGAACTTAAAGGAATACGCGAAAACATATTCCATTACTGTAGATATACTCCCACCATATGTTTATCTTAAATAAAATATTTCATGCTTTATTCTTTTTTAACTACCTACGTCTTTTCAAAATAATTCTGAACGAAAGAATGAAGGAAACTTAAATCCACGTAACACCACTAACAAATAACATTGATCAAATGGTTCAGAGAAATATGTCGGCATTGGATATGCGAGGTGAAAATTCACTATTCGTTTAAAAGCGAAATGATTTTATCCCTAGGTTTCGAAATGCTACAGCTTACTGTAAGTTTTCTGTGAACAATTAGAACAAATGCACTAATTAATACAGAAGCATGCGAAAAACATACTTATAGGTGCTTTTATAAGTATTAAAAGTACCTTCTTATTTTACGGATATACACAATAAAAATCACTTCATATACGATATTAAACAGCATTTAACGAAATCAGCTATTTAGTGCAGCATTTGGCAAAGTTAAATTACTACAGCCAAAACCACAGTGGTCCAAGTCAACCAATCAGAATCCGGATGCAGAAATGTCACATACTCGTTGAAAAATACACTAAAAAATATTGTCAACTTGATACTACACTGTGTAGTTGTAGCTTGTGTTGGGAGAATATCTTCCAGTCAATATAGAGAATCTACAGAGAAATCGTACCGTGCGTGGTAAGCCCATTCACCTAGGTAACTGTAGAAGAAAGTACTTTGAGACTCACTGATATTTCTAACACTATTCGCCAACCTAATCCTAACTCTAACCATAATTCTAACTCCTAAGACTTAATTTTGAACACCATGACCCTACCTAATAGTATAGATTTGCAGAAAAAGTGCCTAGTGAATTAGTAGGATATTGTATCTGCCCTCTACAAGTGCATAAGGGTAGGCGTGATTTGATTTGGAATGATATTTCATAACATCCCCTCTGTCTGATCGATTCGTGAAAGTCAACTTTTGAAAGACCTTGACTTTGGCTATGATACTTTAACTTCGCCCAGCATTTTAAAGACATATACACAGTATCATTCATTATTATTGTGAATATATCAGCTTATATGCTCTTCTTGCAATATGCCACTTTCTACCTAGAAGAACATGACTGTTCAATTCTAGTTCATTTGGTTGTGGTATCTATTCTTTGATATAAGTATAAAACTTGAGCACTTTGGTAGAGTATAACTCCATTGTGGATAAGATTTTATTTTGATAAATTACACAGTGTTATACAGTAATATTAACTGATGACGTTTGGAGCACAATCTATTGCTCATAGTCATATCAAGTTACTCACAAATTTATTCCTTCATTTATATACATGAGTGGAATTGACTAGGTATTTGATTAAAAATCAATATGGGATAATGTACATTCAGAAATAATGAGTGTTATTGATCAATTACAATCAGATGGGAAATAAGACGAGTGTTTTTATAGTCATAATAAGTAACTTGTTAGAATGTTGTCATCACAACATTCATAATGGAGTATCTATTCTTTCCCATTTCCGTGAAACTTAGCAAACGCACGGTCCGGTTTTGGTCAACTTGTTACACAATCTCTACCAAAATCATAATATGAAACTAAGGGTTCAGATATTATCCTGGCTCCATAGCTTTATCGTTTAGGAATAACAAATAAGTCTTTTACACCGGGTATGAGACCAGTAATCTCACAAAATTGCTGTAATACGTCTTTCAAAAATAGATATGCACAAATTCTTATTGGTTAGATGGCCTCTTATATGTCTACAATGTACGTCAAGGTGCGAAATTCTCAATTCTCAGATGTAAAGCAAATGAGTAACGTCTTCTCTAATTGTGCCGCCTTCCAATATCCAATGTCCAATATCCTGATTACGAGCTAGTATAAACCAGTGATTTCTTTGAGCTCGCTTCTTGATTGTAAGGTAGAGGTTCCAGATCTTCGGTGAACTTATGCGTAGTAAATCCGCCACTCGACTGCTTCAGCTCTGGTAGACTCCAAGAGGAGTGGTGCGAGGATTGGTCAAGATTGTGGTTTGTAGTGTGCAGTATGTTAGGACTCAGCTGCTGCCGTGAATGGAGTTTGACCTAACACCCGTTGGTCATTCGGTGTAGTCATAAAAGTAGAAGAGTAATAATAATAGTAGGTTGTAGTGTAGATAATATAGGTTGAGATAAGTGAAATAATAAAGAAAGAAAAGATAGAGTAGTCGGTACAGTGGGAGAAGACAGGACGGGTCGTGGGGATTTAGCTTGTATGCTCATCCATTGACAATGCGGTTTCAAATTTTAAGAGGATTAGCCATTGAGACACAAACCATGCATTTCTGCATGATTGTCCAGCTTCCGCTTAAAAGTCTCCACAGATGGAGCTGTAGTTACGGCCGCCGGTAAAGCGTTCCAGAGACGGCAAACTCGAAGCGAGAAGAAATGTGAACGCACTCGAGTCTTTGGTCTCTGGTGTGCTATCCTTAGCGGGTTACCTCGTGGAAGCCTATAATCACTTTTTGGCAGGATGCTTTTATTTGGGTGGGCCTGGTCATTTAAGATCTTATAGACGATGATGAGGTCTCCCCTGTGACTACGGTAACTAAGTGTGAAAAGACTTAATTTCTTCAGTCTTTCCTCATATGACTTGTTGCGGAGGCCGATCACCCATTTTATCGCTCGTCTCTGGACACTTTCTAGAATGTTAGCATCCCTTTTGAGTAGCGGAGGATCAATGATATTATGCAGCCTTTAGTCAGACACCAGTGTAATATTCAGCAGCCAAAGAGATATGTACTAATTCCTCCAAATATACCTTTGATAATATCATTTTCATTGAATGGGTTGCCACAGTAAGATTCTGCTACAAATATGTGTCTTTTATCGCTTCATAAAAATATCTGAGTTTAAATTTCATATTTATTGGATGTGGATATAGGGCTTGGAGTCTGTAATCATCCTTTTCTAGTAAATTTCTGTGCTCATCTAAAGCCTTATAGAATGAATCAGTTGATATTTAAGATAACACTTCCTCTTTGAGTCAATCCCTCGAGCTTATTATCCGATGTGAGGAACAGCACTCCACAGCTAAATGATTTCATCTTGGCTTTTGAACTCTCCTGCTATTTCTTCTAAGGTGTTCCAACCTGATGGAAAAGAAAAAAGGAATAGGTCCGCAGCCATTATATAGAATTTTTAACATTCTAATTAAATCTCCTCTCTGCCTACGGTAATGCTGGGAGAAGAGATGTAAACTCTAAAGTCTTCCCTCGAATGATAAATTATTCATGCCAAGAATCATACGTATGGCCTTCCTTTGAACACTTTCTAGGATGAGTCCCCTTTAAGACAAGGGCTGGAAGCCTGAATACAGTTCTCCAGTCTTGATTTCATCAGAGATGTATATAAGAAGGTGAACATATCTCGGGTAATTCTAGTCAAGGCTTCGCGAATCGCCCATTAGGATCTTAAACTGCGTGCCGTAGTTAATAGATCGACAGGTTATGAACCCTGGTTTGGTAACCTAAATTAACAGCCTTAGTGGGAAGGGATTTTGTTTTCAATATTGTACAGAATTTTATACGAAGAATTTCCTAATCCAGCCCGCATAATATGTGGAAGTTAATAATTAAGAAAACAATACAGCTCACCTTAGCTGAAGTCGGAAAAGTTGGGCAGGACCTGGACACACTGAATTTTGACAAGTCATATCTCTTGGAAAGTAATGTTTCTGGAGCTGCTGCTCATAAACTAATGATCCGTCCCGCAATAATGCGAAGCATCTTGGCAACCAGAGTTATATATCATATTTGTAAATGAATCTCAAGTTGCTTGAAACACTAGACGTAGGTGTTTAGTAGTTCAGGCTTTGAATCACTTTTATTTTGGTACGGATAATATCATGACTATGTATTGATTTCTTGTGTTGTCATTTTTTGGCCTCTTTTCCTCGGAAAATAATCAGTACCGATTCTTTCACACAAAGAACCAAAATTAACTGGACTTATCTATCACTTACTTGAAGGGATTTATAAGTCAGATAACTGAGAAGAAATTTTCAAGTATCTATTTTCTGAAGGTTTAAATGCATATCTCTTACAGCGAAATTTGTTGCTTACACAGACGTTAGTACTTGTAAAGAGTGCAGTCTCATGATAACCACAGGCTGATATGTGTGTATAAATATTCATGTTAACAGGACCTATAAATTAAAATTCGGAAACATTATATTCCATTATGAATCAATCTTACATCAGAAGTTAACGGGTTTATATCAAGTTTATATCTGTTCAATGGTTCCTGGAGCAAGAATTAGTGTAACCTATCTATTTTGCCTGATCTGTGAACTGCGTATCCCATCTGTAAATAATGTCATTTTGTCGATTTTCTTGTAGAAAGTATAGAATAGATATAGCGATTTCAGTAGTGAACTCCTAGCAATATAATCCACCCTATGTCAGTCTCAACAAGCCACGGGAGACAGTGAACTGGTTGATTCCATCTTCTCTGAGTGATACATGGGATAAGTAATCGTTATTCGAGTTGCGGTAACTACACGGTCCATCCCACATCCCACCATATATATTAACTGTAGTTAGCTAAGCTTACATCTTGATGGAGTGACTTTGACCCAATGGTATGTTTGCACTGTACGGTCTAAATGCTGTTCCGATATAGTCCACCAACTTTTTTAGTATGTAACAAGTAAAAACACTTAAGTTTCACTATTATATGCATGTAGCGAAGCTATAGAACAGTGATTTGAGTGAAGAAGCTAGTGAAACAGAATCAGTGTAGATAGTACTGCAATTATAACGAAGAATGCCACTCAGTAATTACGGAATTGACTTGATCTAGAAGAGACCAGGACTTAAGTCCAAACCCTGAATTCTTAAGCCAGATTATTGTTGCAATAATTTAAATTAGGGAACCTGTTCAATATCCTTACAATTTTCTCCTATTTTTTATATAAATTGGCCCACTCTGCGACTAAGTCTGCCTTTCCCTCAGATCTCTATTCTTCAAGCAGATTTAAGATCCCATTACCAAAAGATGACCTTAAAAACAGCCATGGATCTTAGGGATAAATATGGTCCTCCAACCCAAGACCTAATCTATTTGTAGCCTTATCACAACGTACTTCAAACTAACCCTAATATTCCACTAATTAAGTTAACCCTCCCCAGCCCAAATCTAACCCATATATATCCTGTAGATTACCTAAGATTTATCAGATATACTGTTCAGTATCATGCCACTTCACTGAATTTTTTCATGAATGCGGCGTCATTTGCCTGGCCTCACGAACATGATAACCAGGCATTCCAAGGTCACCTGTGAGTTCGCCCCTCGTCTAGGACTGAAGATTAACCTCAGCTTCTTTGACCTGCACACATACTGTAATGGCACTGTATCTTCCGAGTGGCTTTACTGCACATCCCAGCTGATTGTAGCATCATAGTCTATTGGTGCGGTGATTCAATGACAAGTTATATTTTCATAATTTTTAAATAGAAATTCCTGTTAATTTTTTTCCGTCACATATATTGTTGGTATCATCAAACTCTTGAAACTCGTTACATTTGCCTCACTTTTACCGGAAAATGTTTCTTGACAGTGATATCTGTGAAATGTTATGGATTAAGGGAGGTAGTAAGTTTACAATTTAGACGTATGTTACTGAAATTTCATTAAACCATGCTGATGTATTCCGGCTTATCTACTGAAATGCCCTACTACCCTGCGTATAAAGCAGGTGACGCCACTTTGAAAGAGGGACATGTTATGTGATCGCCCGTATCTAGCTCTTCGTGTCTGTTAAATTTGCATTGCTAACCTAGTTTTTAGGGAAAAAGACTTGAGGCATATTTCAGCTGTCGTATCCCTAGGTTGGCTGATTCGCTATTTGCGGACTAATTCTCCCGTCTTCCCCTTAAATGCGTCAACCTTGATGATACCGAGCGAATATCTGATGACCTGGCATATTCAAATCGGCTTCATTTTGTTAGAGGGCACAATCCCTACTGTAGTCTCAAATGCTTATTGTTTAACAGAAACCCGGAGTAACACTATCATAATTATTATTTTGAATCACATTAATGTTTTTATTGATCGACTGTGAAGCTGCGGTGTTTGGACCTTTTGAAGTTGTAACTTATGGTACTGTAGCCATCTGTGCTGCAATCATCTTGTCGTACTGGTTTATTGTCAGCTGAATAATAAATAATCCTCGAATTGCTAGTTTTTCTACTGACATTTTCGAATTGATCCTGATTCATAATATTATTGGTCTTCCAGAAACAGCACCGGTCTCACGTTCCGTGGGTTGAATGTCTTAAGGCTGGTGCTCTTACAAAATGCTTCGTAAATTTTCCGTTTTGTAAACATGTAGGAGATGGCATCATCGCGGTCACCTGATGAGTTTTACATTTATACTACATATGCACTACTGAACTTCATAGGGTTCAAGCACTTTCAAAAAAACTTCATGGTGGACGCTATCAAAAGCCTCTTTAAAGTTGATTTCGTTGAAATAAAAAGACGACTGTCACTATTTTCTCCTTCTGATGATGTTGCGAAGCATCGCATTTTAATCTACAGGTTATTATTATTATTATTTTATCCTTTAATTCCTACAGGAACATAGGGCTTCAGCCGTGCGTCTCCATTGCGTTCTGTTCCCTGCTAAGGTCTTCACCTGGCTCCAAGTCTGCCCACACGTTTTCATCTCCTCTTCACATGACCTCCTCCAAGTCACCCTTGCAGTGACGACCAACTCGCCGCTTCCCTTTCGATCGGGTTCCACTCGAGCAATAGCTTGTCTAATGATGTCACTTGATGGTTTCCTCAGAGTATGGTCAATCCATTTCCATTTCTTCCTGCCTATTTGTTTCACAATCGGTTCCTGCTGCGTTGGTTCGCTCCCAGAGAT